CGTGCATGGAGAGCAATCATCGCGCCCCAGCCCATGTGCCCCGCGCGGGGGCCGGATCCGACCCTTCATCCCCCCATGGTGGGGTTAAACCCCCTTTGCCAGTCCCCGACGCTCCGCCGTACTCTGCATTTTGAGCAAAGGGGTTGAGAGGGGCTCGGGCACAAGGGCATCACGCTGTTCCCAGGCCTATTTTGTTTACGTTTGATTCAATCAAGTTGTGGCCTTTTGGCCTCCTTCCAAATTAACTTCTGGGTGACCTCTGCCGTGCCCTCTCCCAGCAGCCAGGCCGCAGGGAAACAGCCCATTAAACCCACAAACAAATATAGGACATATTGGTTGATCAACCCAGCTTCAAACGCGGCTATTTAAACGCCGGCGCATGCTTTTTTGCAAACTTCAAGTCTATTTTGTCTTCGGTCATTCACACCTCTGGGTCTCCTTTTTTTTTTTTTTTTTCTTTCTTTTCTTCCAGCTAGAGCTCCGTGTTTTACCACCTCATAAAACTTCTAAATTTTGTTCTCATCTTCCTGTAAAGCCCACAAAGAGCGATGCGAGGTGCTTTCACACGGGGCTCGCCGCAGGACCCGGGTCTTTACACTGAGCACGTGAAGAAAGGCAGCGAGATCCTGCTTGGGGAACAGCTGTAATACTCCGAGAAATTGTGTGTTCCCTTTATTTCCAAGGAAATAAATCAAAGCGGGTTTCTCAGGGTCTGTGAAAGCATATTGCCTGGATTCTGATCCCCAAAGGGTTTCTTGGTTTTTTTTTTTCAAGAGCTTATATGGTAGTTAGATTTCTGGCTACAGAATATGCAATATGATAAAAACACAGTCCCTATACGGGGCAATAAATTACAGATTGTTTGATGTGGAAACCAAAGAACTGTCAAACTCCAGTATATCTGAAATATTCTAAATGAGCCCTTAACTCCAGCGTCTGGAAATGTACAATATGTTTCCAGGCCTTTCAGCCTTCTAAAGACACATCTTCCCCAGTTAAGTTTCCTTTTATGGATTTTAGTCTTCATTTTTGGTGGGTTTTTCCCCCTCTTTTCTTCCAATATTATACTCTTCCTCCTAGAGATGGTCCTATGATAAACACCAGGATTTAACTAAGCATAAAAAGGGATCAGAACTGGCCACAACCTTAAACAGGTAAGTGCAGTAAGGATGGGGTAAAGCATCTGCTTCAACAGTGTCTGAGCCCCGCAAGCACTGCAGAGAGCACACAGGCAGCTGGGGACCGAGAGGGACAGGAGGGAGGACCAAGAGTGTCACATCGGCTGAGCCGGTGCCCGCAGTCTCCACCCCTGCTGCATCCTTGCACCAGCAGCACTCAGGTCCGCGCTCCAGAGCCGGTCTTGGGAGGAGGTTCAATAGGTGGTCACGAACGTGGCAGAACGCCTGGGACGTGGGCCATGGGACACCAAGGCTCCTACCTCCATGCCTATCTGTTAAAACTTGAAGCTCATCCCCATCTGTCAGCCACCTAAACATCCCCATGGTGGGGGGAAAATTGAGTGACCAGAGGAAATAGCCCACCTTGCACACCACTTTTTGCCTAGGGATGCTCCCAAGTCACAAAAACACTGAGCAAGACCTTGTACTGACACATAATAACCTTTCAATCTCAATATAGTTTCACGTGTGGGATGAGTGAAAACCCTTCTAGCTAGAAACAGACCCCATCCACTCTGGGAAATAAAAGTTAGGAACCAATTCCAACTCATTTTCCTGAAGGTGACCCTTGGCCTCCCAGCTGAGATAACAATGCTAATATTTATGGATGGGCTGTTTATGCCTCTGGGCACACAGCAAAAATAACTCAAATCAAAACTTGGTAGACATCTAATAGAACTGGAAAAAAAAAAAAATCCTTACTTCCAATATGGCAATAGTAAACCATCTCGCCCACCAACGCATGAAAAATAGCACCACCCACAATCACACATTCGGGTGAAATAAAAATGGTCTGGAGTCTTGATGTGATGAGGAGGCACCACCGAGGGGGACTCATTCAGAAAGGACTGACTTGAGACAGTACACTACTCAGGCAGTGAGCTTTATTCATTTATCTATTTTAACTTGATAAAAGGTGCTTGAACCAAACCAATACAATCTGACAAACTTTTACTTCTCGTTCTCTCTGGGTTAAGTTTTCTATACTCCTTTCAGTCCCCAAGGATTTTGTTCTAATGCACAGACACTGTTCTCATTTCAAACTGCAGAAGTTGGATAAGACTTTCTCATATATATGTGTGCACTTGCCCAGATTCAGTTTGAGAAGACACGAACTAATGAGCGAGCGTGATTTCCACAAACAACACATTCGCCAAACTCAAGCAAGCTCGAAAATGTGGCCTACTGCTGAAAGAACACACATTTTTCAGGCGTGTGAGCAGCCTGGAATAAATCGAAGCCAAGTCATCAGCAAATTACAGACATTAGCAAAAATCTACAAGTAAAAGCTGTGGAACTCTTCAGAAAAATTGCACCAGCTAGCATGGCTCCTGAGTCTACCCACATCCACAAAATCCAAGCTGCATCTCCAACGCAACACATGGGGAGGAATTCATTATATGGTACGAGATTCACAATTTACTGGTAGTCACATGGGGAATCCAGTTTACAGCTCTGAGCACTACAAACGCTCGAAAAGGTGCTCTTTTCTCCAAAAGATTCTGGATGTTTGAAAACCCTGAAAAGCCACTGTTGGCTTGAGCTTGGTGGATCAGGAGATTTTCAACCCCTCCCCAGCCTGGGAGTCCCCACCACTTCCCCGATTTGAAGCCAACACCTGAAAAACACAACCGTAATTCATCCAGGGCTGCTCCTTCCACATTTCCTATTCTTTGGCGTTCAAGATGCATTCCAGATGTGAAGGAGAGCACTAAACTTCAGTAGGTCAAGAAAATAAGTGTGATGGTGAGCTATGACACCCCAAATCCCAAACTTAAGTGACCTCCACAGTTACTTTCCCAGTATATAAGCTACTTACATAGACTAAAGACCCTCCACAAGAATAGCTAGGTTCATAACTAATTTTCACATATCACTTTTGATTTTCTCCTGATTTTATTCTCAACTCCCCCCTCTCTCAAACACAACTTTACATGAGGGGTCGATATTTTTCCAACTCTTACATTTACGCCGTTTAAACCAAAACAACTCACTTGCCCCCCATAACACGTTCCGATCAGATACTGCAAGCCAAGGAGGGGAAGCGCTGTCAGAGATTATGACCAAGCTGACCATATTCACCCCCTTACCACTATTTTTCCCAGAGCAGTAGCTGACAAAGACACTCCGCTGCTGCAAACAGCTGAGTTCAGCTTGGTGATGTTTACACAGGGTCTCTCGTTCCACGAATCTCGGCTCCTCAGCAGCCTGAACTGTTCAGCAAAGACCTAACTTGACCCAATCTGGCAGCCAGCATTTCACAACCACTTTATGTCAGCAGTTTCAAGTACACTAATAACCATGTTTTGTTCGGTGCGACTTTCTCACTGTGAACGGCAAAATATCATTATCACCTGCAGGTTGAAGCCTGCCCTCTACCCCATTTAATAGGGAGCTGATTATGCTGTTCCCCCCCCCACTTTTAATAATTATGGGCTGTTGGCAGATGGCATGGCTCGGCGCAGGGAGGTATGCGGGAAGGCAGAGCGGGCTGCCCTGCCACTGCCCACATCAGCTCCCGCGTGCCGGGGTGCTCCCAGGGACCCCGAGCCCCTCGCTGCATCCCGCTCCCAGACAGGAGCTAATGAGGCGTGCCTGCACTGGAAGGTGCAGGGGTTAAACCGGGAACTGCTATGAAAACAGACCCTGGCAGTCGCGGGAGCAGGAAAGCAGAGGTTAGCAGAAAAGTCGCTAAGCCAGCAACTCCAGACAGACCAGCCCTTGCAGCCCACCCAGCCAGGAAGCAAAGCTGGGCTTAACCCCAGGAACCTGCCGCTGCCCAAAGCCTCATGCTGGAACAACCCTGAACAAGGTCCCCACTGCTAAGAGCTCTCTTGGGAGAGAATGAGCCGCTCAGCCGTATTAACAGACAGCATTACCACCCCAGTATTTGCCCTGCAAGGTCCCAACACTGTGTGTCCTTGGGAAGTACAGAGGCCCAAGCTATCAGCCTACTGAAAAACATCCCCTTTACGAGTTACTCAGTGACACAGAGAGGAGAGCAGAGTCCAGAGCTGGACCCCAGTGCGGCTGGCCCGAGGCAACGCTGCAGAAGAGCTCTGGGAGGTTAACAATCACAAGCTGAACGCCGCGCAGAGGTGCCACCTAATCCCTTGGCAGCGGTGGGGCTTGTTCACAGACCTAACCTGGCCTGGCATGACGGGTAGAGACAAGATACTGCTTGTCCTGGCAAGGATGCCAGGTCTGAGACCGTGGGAAGGAAGCTCCTTCCCCAGCAGAAAGGGTCTCATCCAGCTCTGCCATTTCCCCATTCCCTGGTAACTTGCCCCAGTAGTGACTGGGAGTGGATGTCCAGGGAGATAGATACAGCAAAGCAACATTGCTCCCTGCTCTGCCAGCCGCAAGCAATGCTGAAGGGGACTCCTCTGACCAGAGGGGACATCAAGCATGTGGCATGCAGACCACTGCCAGCATCTCGTGCTCAGGGGCACCACAGGAGCTCCATCTTTCTTGGTCTTCCATCATGTGGGGATGGATGCCCAGCAGAAGCGCACTGCAGAGGTGCATCCATGTATCCTCCCAGGTGCAGGATGAGCCCTGGAGGGCTGCAACGCACGTGCCCTGCAGCTCCCACTACACCCATGGAGCACCACGCCAGTGTGCATGAATCAGGACCTGCCACACGTGCCCAGAGAGCCCGGTACTGCACGGGGCTGAGGCAGCACTGGCTCCGCACGCAGCTGTGGAAGATGGAGGTGCCCTGGGTTGTCTGGCTGTGCCCGAAGAAAGTGTGGGGGAGGCCAGACTGATTTGGAAACCGCCCACTGTGGAGCCATCCCTGCTGGCACGCCTGCAACGAACCTGGTTGATGTGTTTCAGCTTGTCAATAATCTGGCTGATCACTGGCTCAGGACTTTTCATCTTCACCTCATGGTTGCCAGGCTGCGCTTTTGCTCCATTTCTCGTGATCTGGGGACTGTACCTGTGGGAGTGAGAACAGAGGAGACCACAATGTGATGGGCTAATATAGAGGAGATCTTTAAAGTTCAGCACAAACAAAAGAAATCCCAAGATAAGCACCAGCCCTTTCCAAAACAGAGAGCGAAAAACAGTTGATAATGACAAAGAAAAGGCAGAAGATTCCCCTAAATATTTCTGCTCTGCCTTTGCAAAGCAGCGAGATGATGTACTTGTATCACTTGAGGACAATGAAGTCCTTTCCAGTCCATTAGTAACCAAGGAAGACGTTAAACAGTATACAATAGGGATAAATATTTTCACATAACTTGCACCCAAGAGTCCTAAAAAGCTGGCTCAGAAATTCTGGCTTGCTCATGTTTGTTTAAAATAAATCTTGGCAGACCACAGAGACTCCAGTACAAGAGCAGTAGTGTTGTGCCCACAGCCAAAAAAAATGAGTGGGATGACCCAGTTAACTGCAAGCTGATTAGCATAACATCAACCCCCTTGCAAAATAATGACTATCACTGATGTGTGATTTCAATAATAAAGAATTAAAGCATCAGAATATAATTAATGCTGTCAACATTGCTAATGGAAAATAGGTGTTGTCAAACAATCCTGATTTCAGTCTTTGATGAGATCCAGCCTTGGGGATCAAAGTAACTGCTTAGACAGGATGTACCTTGACTTTGGTGTGGTGCTGGACTCTGCACCATGCCATATCCCGATTTACAGGGGTACCGTGCAAGTCAGTAAAGCATCCATAAAGTGGATTAAGAGCTGGCAGAGAGATCTCCAGACAACAGGTCTCCACAGGGACCCTGCCTGAGCAGCCATCTGCCAGGGCAGCTCTCTCTGCAGAGGAGGGTGGCCAAGCCCATGCTCAGCTTTTTTGTCGGCGATTAGGAAAGAAATATATATTCACTGCTGCAAAACTTACGGAATGGCAAAGCTTATCAGGGTGATAAAAGCGAGCAGAAGAGGGACAAAGCGATCACTGCATGCTTGCCTTTGAAGGAACACGTTTCTACACTCCATACCTGAGTTCATGACGCTCAGGACATGAGACAAGAGCGTCCACACCAACCTCAAACTCCACTTCACGACCAGAATGAGCGGCTGCCACCAGCGACTGCGAGCACACTGGTGCCTTCTCAAGCTGTGGGTTGTTGGTATTCATCATAGCCCCAACGACGGGCCACGATACTCTACAAGCACAAAACAAGACCTCGTCTCCAAGAGCTGACAGCCCGAGCACACGCTGCCAAACCCCAGCACTGCCTACAAAAGCGAGATTGCCAAGATAAGGCCAAGCATCAGTCTGCTTTACTGTACGTCTGTTTTTCCGGTGCCGTGGGTAAACATGATGAATATTCCTTTCTGCGATTCATCTCCTACACATCACGTCCTCACCCAACTCCCAGCACCAGCCTCAGCAACTGCCTCCCCGTCTGCCAGCTCCCCGCTCCTCTGCCCACTAATCCCTCATCCCCACGCCGCCGGGCGAGCTCAGGCGATGACAGTCGGCCCATTTCACAGAGGCTTTGGGGAGCAAGTGGGACTTCAGCGGGGATTTAAAGGAGGGGAGGGAGACCATGGGGATGGTGGGGCCAGCTCAGCAAGGATGCTTTGCTGGGGGAAAAAGCAAGAGGCATGGGGACATTCAGCCACAGCAGCTGTCAGGGCACACTGAGGGTTTCAGGGATACACAGGGTGTTGGCCCCACTTAAACTCTAGATTAGGAATGAGACCAACTCAGACATATGGGGATGCAAAGGCAACCCCATATTTATACTGGCATAGCAGGAATCTGCCCCCAACCTAAAATATTCACGTCATTTAAAATACAGAACCAAGGCTGATTTCCACCGCAAGGCTTTTTCGGAGCAGGAGTTAAACATACAGGAGCACTCTGCATGCCCAGCGCTGGGCACTCCCCATACACAGCTCAGATGGGAGAAAGGAGGTGTTTGTGCCTCTAACAAAGGGGCAGATGCTTGTGTATATTGCTGTTTCCAGATATAAACAGCTTGTCCAGGTACTGGACAAAGCAGAGACACCAACCTGAATCCCACCAGCTCCTCAGCACCAGTGCTGCCCAGGCATACCAGATCAACTCCAACAACCCTGTTCTCCACCCAGGCGTCGTTCCCCATGCTGGTGCCTCCAGTTAGGACTCAAGATTTTGCAAAACACACTTTTTTTTTTTTTTAAAAAAGTTGTATTATCCTGGGAAGTACAAAACACTATACAAAGCTATACCTGAGGCATAATAGGTCCCAGCTCAGAAAAGCACTTAAACACTGTAGGATGAAAGCTAAGTGACTGGCAGAAATGGAGCAAGAGTGCCAGGCTGGATCCCAGTCTGCAAGCAGCCCATGCCCAGGAGAAGGTCTGGCTTCACAGCACAGCTGGCCGGCAGGACCACAAGCTCCGAGCACCATCTCGTGGGAAGACGCTGCTGCCGCAAGCATAAACCTACCCGGCTCTGCAAATACTTGGACTTAACTTTTTGCAGGAGAATAAAGCATTGGGAGCAGCAATCCATTAAACCTGCTGCTTATTTGTCACACAGTCACTTAATGCCACTGAGCCAACCTGACAAACACATTTGGACACTGAACATAAACATCCAGAAGATGCATGACTCTTTAAATGTCAAAGAAATTACCATTTTTGGTGTCACTGTAAATTTAATTTAAAACACTGATGGAACTTTAAAGTACATTGATGGAAAGTCTCCTGCGGTTTAAGAGATTTAAGTAGCAGGATGAATCTCCCACAGGTTTTAGCAATAAGAGAACCAAGCCCATTTGGTGCCTACCTAAATGAACACAATCTCCCTCCTAAACAGTTTTATACAAAGAAACTCAATAGCTTGGGTTTGAACGGGCAAAGCCCCTTCTGAAAGCCATGCAATGACCGCCAGAGAGGATTTCTGTAGCCTACGCAATGTCATACAGGAGGGAGGAACACAGCTATGGCAGGTCACCGTAACTGCGTGTCCAAAGACTGAAATTGTTCTCCAGAAGACAGAGTCCCTGATGTGACCTCGGTGACTGTGGTGGAGCGGTGAGGATGTCAGATCATCTTCCCCAGGGGGACAAGCCTACCAGAGAAGGAAGCAAACCTGAAAGAGTTTGCAGAGGGATCTCTCCCTAAAACAGTGATGCTGGAAAAGCAGAGTGCCACCAGCTGGTGCTTCCCACCTGGCCAGGTACAAGGGTACATAATAGGCCCAGAATGAATCAATTTGCATCATTACACAAGTCATTTGAAGCACCAAGGCAGCGGGCTCTGCAAACTGCACACCTTTGAGCATGAATCGCAAAGACGCAGATGCACAGGGACACGCTACGTCCGAAGAGACAGAGGCGAGCTCCTGCATGGCTTGGGTGCTTCAGGACACGCCGCCTCCGCGCTGCCGAGCTGAGACCTCCCGGTGCGCTCGGGTACGAGGGGGACACCAGCTCCCCCTCAGCTCTGCCCCTCTCTGCCCACGCACCAGGGCTGGGCTGGCACGCATTCAGGCATGTGGGATGCAGCCAAACGAAGGGTTAAAGACTTTGAAATATAGCTTCAGTGAGGGATGGGCATTCCT